CGGAATATCGCGCTGAATCGACTCCTGCGAATTCGCACTAGCTCAAGAATAACTCGCAACATATCGATGAGGATCAGTGATCCGCGACCGCAGGTTGCCGTCTCGTGATACGTTGCGGGCAAAATACATACGTTGCGCGTCTACGCATAGGAAAATTTATTGCGCTACTCGAACCTCAGTTCGTTTGTTGCCGCGCCGTGAAAAGCCGGCGACTTTCGTTCCTTGGCCGGGCAACGCGCGGCTTTTTCCAATCACCGCGGCTTCTCATCCCCGCCCGGCGATGTATACACGCAATAAATTCCGCCGAATCCTCGAGCGCCGGCCAATCGGCCAATCGAAAAGCAATTCCGGCATTCCAGATTGACAATCGGTCAGCTCCGTCTTCCGCTGGCTTGCGCACTTCCGTTCACCGTCATCGTACGTCGATCGATCGGCTACGACAATCGGTATACTGCGGCATGCACCGAGGCCGAGAGACGCGCGCGCGATCGGGAAACTCCTCGCGCGACAGGATGATCTTCGACTCGGGCCGAGAGACGCGGCAGCGCCGTGAGAGGGTCGTACCAACGCGAATTTCGCGCGTGAGGAAGGTCAGTGACCCCGGTGGAAGCGTTATCGAGCGGGTCAGTGGGTCGCAGAACCATGGAGCATTTTGCCCCCCTCGCCCTCGCCTCGCCCCCTCGCCGTCGCCGCCCCCCCCTCCCCCTGTAGCCGCCACCCACCCCCGCGTTCAACTATCTCGCGCTGGCCATCCACCGCCCCCGCCCCTCGACATCTTCCCCGTGGAGGAGCAGTGGCGGTGGCTGAATCGAACACGCGCTTGAAATCTCTCCTCGACTTTGCAAAAATTCGTCTTTCACCCGGGCGGAATTCTCTAGCAGCGGATAACAGCTTCTCTTTCAAATGAATGCGCCCTAGCGCCGAAAACACTGTACTTGACACGGATAAACCCTCAAGTCTTTGCCCAACATTCTTGCGTCATCTGAATAAAAAAAAAGGGGGAAAGAATCTCGTTATCTGGTTCATACTACGTTTTACAGAATCGTGCCTTCGGCACAGAAATATTCTGATTTTGCTAGCTGATGTTTTGATCTTTTAGTTTTACTCGCGAGCGGACTTTGCGAGCTTTTATTACGTACATGTTAAAATGCACCCCTATTAAAGTAAACGAAAAATTCTACAGATAATTTCCGATGCGTTTAAATTAAAACGCGTTGAAAGATATGACGTCTATCTCACGCAAATAATGCGATGCCATTGAGGCTTCTCGCATCTCTCGAACGACGGGCTCGTCGATGAAGATGAATTGGAAAAGGGACGGCGGGAAAATTCGTAGCACGACAGCAGCGAATTCCCCGGGACAAAGAGTACTACTCCCCGTCGACAGAAATCATGGAGATGCTCAATAAGCTTCGATGCCGATTGCAGAAAAGCTTACCTATGCAAATGAAATTAGTCCACTAGATTAATGAGAGGAGTGGAAGTGGTTTCATTTCACACGTAAAAATTAGTCTACAACAGAAGCGTAGTTACGCGATTATATCGCCGATATTCTGCGGGAAAATATACGAGAGTGAGAAGTGCTTTCTCGACAAATTTGCCACTTCCAAATGAGAGAGCCCTATTTTTCCCTTCGGGGCCTGAACGGTGTAGCGTTAAACACCCGCAAATTCTTCATCACGATTTCTCGCGTCTAAGACGCGTTTACGTCTGTAAAACGGGATTTCAAGAAGTGGTCGACGACACGAAGGAAAAATCCACAAAGACGTAAAGACGCGGGACTCCGCCAAGGCGGAGAACGTAGGGCGTCGGAGAACGTATAAGCTGACACGAAGAGGATGGGGGACATCGTCTCCCCCGAGGAGGGAAGCAGAGGAGACCTGGAGAGGGGGAGGGGAAGAGAGAGAGAAAGAGAGAGAGAGAGAGTGAGTTAGGGAGATAGAGAGAAAAAGAGAGGGAGAGGAGAGGGAGAGAGAGAGAGAAAAGAGCACCCCCGCGGCTCTATATAGACCAAAAGCTCTCGCGTTCGCATTGCGCTTGTGCGAGAAGCTGCCGTTGCCCGGGAAGAGACCTCCCGGCCAGCCTCAGTCTCCGGGATGCTGGGGGCGGCGATCGTGATTCTACCCCCATTCTCGTGGCGCTCCGATAACACAGCCCGACTGATTGCAGCGCGGTCCCGTTCGCTCCTCGGCGGCCACTCGAATTAGCCCTCGTCTCCTGCCTCGCTCATCTCGCTCTCGGCTCGGCGCGCGCGAGGAGAGGAGCCCGGGCTCGTTTTGTCTCCCTTGAAACGGGTCCACCCTCCGTCGGCGCCGCCGTTGCCGCATCCGTCCGTCTATCCCCTGTCTCCCTCTTTCTCTCTCCGGGGATCCCAATCCGCCCTCCGTCCCTTCTCCGTGTCCACGCTTCACACCCTTTTCCGCCGAAGCCGGGGCGCAGTCACCGCGAGGGCCTTCAGCCAACCGCCTCTGGCAGGTGAGTCTCTCCCGTCATCTGTCGTCGCGGGTGCGTCGCGACGCTCAAAGTGGTGGTCGTTGTCGGTCAGCGGAGCGTACAGTGCACTAGGACCCTGGGAGATTCAGCCGCGCTCGTGTGTGCACGGAATTTTCCATTAGCTCGTTCGACCAAGTACGCGAGATCAGAGACCTATTAGGTCTTAGGGACCTCCGCTTCTCTCTCCTTCTCTCTTTCTGCCTTTCTCTTGTTTTTACTCTCTCCATCTAGCTCTCTCCGCCATTCATCTGCCTCTTGGTATCGCTTGCGCACTCCTCCCGATTCGCCCGTAAGCCTCAGCTTCTTGTTGCTCTGCAGTTCCCATCTGCCTCGGTGATTCTGCCGATTCGCAAGCTGCAACGCCACAGAGTCCCCCTTTCTCGCTTTTGTGGAGTGGAAGACAATTGAACTAATTTTTACCGCAGATTTATTGTCGTAGATGAAGATATATAGAATATAAATCAAACATACATGTATACATGCATGTCTGATTTATATCCTGCATTCATATGTTCTTATATATATGACGTTATATTTTACGCACACATATATGACATGTAATATATTACCGATCATATTACGCAGTACACTCCAATACATCATGGGAAAGGGTGTGCTCCATTTCTGCGCTTCAGCGAAGAGAGCCTTTAACGATATACGTAAAGAACCAAAGCGCAGGCGCTTCCGGCGGAAAAGGGGAACAAGCGGTTAAAGATCTGGTCGACTTGTAAATTACTTGATTATCGTCAAGATTATTCGCGACAGTCAATTAGTTAATACGACAGTTTGATTGAACTCGATTAATACCGAGGCGTGCACCAAAATGGCCGCACAGGTACCAGCGCTTCCGAAACACGACCACCACGTAGGGGGCACTTGAGCTCGCGGGGGTACGAGATCGATTTGCTACAAGATCGTTGACTATCTTTTGACGATCGTCAGGAGCTCGTGAGACAAGACGAAATCCACGATGGTGGGCGGTGGCGACTGTAAGGTCGCTACCGTAGAGGTAGAGGCGGCCGCCGGCGGCGGCGGCGACACGGCGACACTTCCGGTCACCAGGCCCCTCAATCCGCAAAACTCGCCGCCGAATGCACAGGACAACGCCGAGAAGAACAACGCCGCGAACAAAGAGATGGAGCTGAAGAACGTGCGATCCACCCCGGCGAAAAAGTAAGGCGCACGCTGTAGAGACCAACGAATAAAAACATTTTTCATTTAACAATTGTCTCATCTGTTTCGCGAAGACGCGAACGTAGCGCTAATACGTGTGGATAAAACACATTTTTTTGGCATGACCCGTTTTCTTCCAGGACAATTTTGCGCGCAAAAAAAACGGGTACTGTTGCGAAGCGTTTTCACCGCAGAAAATCTACATATATTAAATAGCATAACATTCTCCTTTTTTTTTGGTTTTTAGTAAAATTGTCCCAGGAAGAATGGGACCTGCAAATACTCTCTCCATCCATTACAGCTAATTTTGATTCTAACAATTTCGCCGGAGCACCAGAACTCCGGATGTTTTTCCATACAAGACTGAAATCTAGGTCAAGTATAAAAGTCATTTAGTCCGGTCGCGGAGCACCTGTTAATGAAGCATAATTATTTAACGACATGTTTATTACGTGCTTGTGAATTTATAAGCTTACGGTACGCCTGGCGTGACTTACGAGACGCGCAACACCGATTCTAATCGAAGCGTAATAAAAGTCAATTTATTCAAAAGCATCGTAAATTTTGTTTCGCGCTTTGTATACGAAGCCATTATAATGGCACGCCATCATTGCGCAGGTATAATAATATTACTAGCGATGTTTGCGAGGGAACTAATAGTTTCCTACTGTTTCTAATAGTCGCTTAAACATGACGTCTTCAATTCTCGAGAACAAGCTATTTCGTGGCGCGCAATATTAATTTCCGGCTACTCGCGTTGAACATGGACGCGCAAGTGCTTCGCGAATAGAGAAGTATCGATATATCCGTCTGCTCGAAAACATCGGTCTCCGAAGCGTGGAATACAGCGGACTGTCAAATAACCACGAAACGAACGCACTGCTATACGCGAATAAAATGAGAATAGACAGTGAAATAAATATCAACCACCAAAAATATGCCCAATGAAGAAAATTGCTCGACTACGCAGAATGATACGGTGAATAAAAAAATGTATAGTAAAGTCTGTTACATGTTACAACGTAAGGCCCAGTTTCACAGTGGCTAGTTAGTTTAACTAGTTGATAAGCAGTGATGCCAACCACTGAAGCTTCGGTAAGCACAAGGTTAGATTTTGTCAAGTTGCATTGTCGCAAATAAGCTTAAAAAATATATACATATATATAACCTTGTAAATGGCTTACCGAATTTTGTATCAGTGGTTGGCATCACTACTTAACAACTAGTTAAGCTAACTAGCCACTGTGAAACTGGGCCTAAGACTCATCGTTGGTGCTGAAGTGAACTTTCAAGGCAACTGCGTTATAAACAAATCCCCAAAGGTAATTTCTATTAAATTCGTTTGGATTAGTCGTCTTGTTGGAATTTTGATTAAGAAACATTATCATGATAGAACGGCAGAAAGTGCTGGTCATGCTACCTTCGTACTACTCGGAGAGAATATCCGGCCTGCGAGAAAATAGTAACGGAGGGCCCGAAATGGAAACGAGATAGTCTAGTTTGGTTTGCATTTCTATTTACGGCATAGTTCGTTAACCCTATGCAGCTGAATATGTGTCGCTCGCATCACACATGTGTATACGGCGTGCATAATACGCACTGCGTTCGCGCGATGAATGACAATTAATTATTTCCCCGAGAGATATTGATTAAAACGTGCGGTTAAAAGAACGGAATGAAAATCCAATTTCTATTTTTGCGAAATAATTTCTATGAATTGCAAATGCGTAATTACTAAATTGCGTTTCATCTGAAACAGCACTGCCCTTTTACACCTCCTTGTACGTTGTACTTTTTTTTTATTGCTTTAAATTTCTACGAACGTCCACTAAAAGGAAAGTATGCGTCTGTATGTGTGCGAATGGACTGGTATGTTAAAGGTTTCACAGACATGCTGACACAAAAACTATATAGAGCCGCAGATAAATCGGACAGTTCGCGCGCTACTTTTCAATTGACTAATATTGATTTGACGACAAGTGTAGCCATATGCATTTTGCGACGAAGCAATAGGTGGATCTCGGATTACACAGCCGCAGTCGCAATTGCATTAACGCCGTCCTCAAGCCGACTGCCACCGGCAGTCTGTGCGTCGCGCTCGCCGCAAAACAGTGCCGCCACAAATCTCTCGCGAGCGCAATTCATCCTAAATTTAATTAACACGGAAATTGAAATTTCCACTCGCGTCGTGAAATACGGGCGCGCGACTTACATCGAGTGATTTGTAATAGTTTTGCGAAATTGTGCCGTGCCGCAGCGGTGGTTTTACGAAATTCGCGGTAATGCGAGAGTGTCGGACGACTAGTGACTTTAAACGCGACTGATTCGCGAGAGCTATGGGATTCATTTGGCGATTACAACCGCCGAGAGTTGTATTGATTTTTCGGCGCGGAAAAAAGTCAATCGGTCAAAGGGTCCCCCCAGTAATGAAAGGGAGTCGATGCAAACCCGATTATCGCCAATCATAAAATTACTGCAGGCTTCTCCCGCTGACAGGCAGAGTAAATAGACCGGAAATAGATGTCTGAAGAGACGCGGCCTTTTGTGCGACAGAGATAAGAATTTATCGACCAGAGATGTAAACACGGGTTCTCTATATAACTTTACAACGCTTATGTAACGCAACCTGTAATTTTATAACGTTACATACGACACGCGATGTAATGATGGGCTTGATTGCAAATGAGTGCGATTTCTTAACACGGCCGATTCGGATACGCGCCAACGGTTTGATTCCCGGATGTGGTGCCGCGAAACTCTCGAAAGGATTTGAGAAAGGATAGAGCCTTGAAAGGGATTGAGGCGAGGTTAAGCCCATAAGAGGGCGAGGAAACAGGGAGGAGCACCGGCGCCGAAAGTAGGTACTTCGAGATATCGACCAGCCAGTCTGGACCGTTCCACGTCCGCGCTGTTTCCATTTTCTCGTTCGCTCCTTGTTCGCAACTGGAAAAAGGCCGACTGCTACGCACTGCCTCTTTCTCACACGGCAAAAAAGATTACGAGACACATCACTTCGATCTTGCTGCCATTCTTAGCTTTAGAGAGAGAGCAGAGTTAGCCTGTTAACTTGTCCCCAATCGCACAAAATCGCGAAACCCGAGATGCGAAAATTGCGATCGACCTTCTCGTACAGCTTTCGATACGAACAAGACACAATTATCCCGGCTCTTTAGAAATATCTCGCGGAGGTGACTTGATATCGCGAATTCGCAACGAAGCGCGTAGACCTAGAGATATTGAGCAGTATCCAAAGCGAGAAACTCATCCATTGTCATTGAGGCATCCTGCCTACCGGCCCAATTGTGGCGAACAATAGCCGCGAAGTCTGCCCGATCAATCCAATTAGGGGCGGTTTAGTTACACAACTCCTCGGTTAATTAATATCGAGAAACTAAATTTACGCACCGTAATTAGCGCTCACTTCTCCAAAATAGATTCGCAAAACGTCAAATAAACGACGTGCGCTTCCCTCTAGATTCCCCTCGACCGATTTTGACAATTGATATTTCTTTAGTAAGATCGCTAAAAGGAACGTTAACTCAGGGTTCAATTATAAAGTGCGCGATGCTAAAAGCATGAAAAGACGCGACGAACGGCCATTCCCGCTGGACAAAGTCTCTAAATGGGTCGCTCGGAAGCCGGTGGTCAGATGAATGTCCTCCCCTGCGCGATTCCGCTTTTACGTAATAAATTACGACACGGTAAAAGAGAGCGACTGCTTTAAATAAAAACTGCGATTCACGCTCCCGCAAGACGGAAAATATCACCGCCTCTCCCCTAACGCGCATCCGGGGAGAAAAAAAATCCCTGACGCGAGTGTACAAGCTCGTGTGGGACACAATAAAGTCTGCACCCCCCCGACCCCGTGAAATGCCACGGTGACAAAGGGCGGTTAAGCCCTTCTCGGCGTAGACGCGTTGCATACATACGTGCCGTCGCGCGGCGCGCGGGCGTCGTTGCATCGCGCGGCGCGGCGCGGCGCGGCGCGGCCCCTTCTGCGTGCGCGCTGCGCGGCCCCGTTTTCCCGTGGAAAAGCCTCATTTCCCGCGCGATTGATTCCCGGTGAGATCGCGCCGAGTTTGCGACCGGCATTATATATAGACTATCGATTGCGCCGCCTAACCTTTGAGTGAGAAAATGAGCGTAACGAGGATGAGAGGCGCGGATAAGTACGTCCGAGATGTTGGAACGGCAGTCATGCTCGCCGATTAAAAGCGAATGCACCAGGTCAACTGTTATTGAAGATCGACCGCTTCGCCGCGTTCCGAGTAATCGTGCCACTCGTATCAAGATCAGCGCGATGCTTCGCCGAAATTAACGAAACTGCGCCGCGCCAATTGTAAGATACCGACGAGTGTTCAGTGTGCGCGTAGTCCACAAATGTCAATTTAATTATATTACTTCCGCTTAACGAACCGTGAACGGTGTTTTGTCGGGTGGGCGTCGGTGTATTCTTTTTTTTTTACCAATGATAGATTGCGCAACTTTAGAATTTTGTGATTGCCAGTGGATTAAATAAATGTCATAATATTCGAATGCCCGGTTGTTCGATCGACAGTTCTAGTTATTACCCACTTTTGGTTATCGATTAAAAAATGAGCCTGTAACACACGTGTTGTGCGGACTAAATAGAATAACGAGGACACGGCAGTTATATTTGGTGAAAACAATGAAAATTCGATGAGTCCGAATGCCATTGTGATTGGAAGGCGAGAGCAGAAATAGCACGTTCGACTGCGAATCGACTTGCGCGATTACAACGAGCGCAACAGTCGGCGTTCGTTATTAATCGAAGTGGGACACGATGCGAGTGGCACATGAAACAATTAGCAATAAACAGCCAATAACAATTACATTAATAGCAATTGATTAGTTAGGCGATGCAGTGACATTAAATAATAATGAAAAACGCCATTTATTGAAAACCGACGGTGTAACGCTGGCAGATTCCGCTCGAGGCTCGCGTATTAGCGTTCGTTCAAGAAGGAAGATAAAAAGTAAAATTTTCTTTAAGTTGTCTCTCGCAGTGCAGAATTTTGAGTAAAAGCTCATCATGGAGGTCGAAGTTGTGCCCTTCGTCGATAATAACGCAGGCAGAAAGGAGACGCTGCCACGACGGGGTAGCAGGGTGCAAATTATTCAGAAAAAAGGGTGAGACCATTGCTCGGACATGACGTATACGACGAGATAATCCGATGAAATTTTTCTCTGTTGACGTAACTCGATACTCGCTATATAGATTGAGAGAGATTGTCATCTGTCGGGTGTCATATTTCGTATTATTACGATGTGATAGACAATGCTCATGGCGCTTCTTATTTCAGAACGTCGCTCTTCATCATCATGAGCTTCATCTACTCGAAGCTCCTCGTAGTCGTGTGCATCGCCTACGTGATAAGCGAAGTGGTGACGCACAAACTGCCGCTGTACTATTACGAGGGATTCTTCACATACCTTTACGGCATGAGCATCCTGTTCCTGTTGTACGTCTTCTGCTTCCTCCTCCAAGAGAGCGCTTGCTGTGCGAGGGGAAGCGATACGCCGCCACCGCCGCCGAGACCGCCCAAATCTGGTTGGAAGGAACCTAAGGAACCTAAGGACAAGAACAAGAAAAAGGATAAGAAAGAGAAGGAACCGAAGAAGGATACGAAGGCCAAAAAGGAAACTCAGGTTCTCTAAAAATAGTAGCTTTTCACGGGAAATCTCTAATATAAACATTTCTCTAACATTAACAGTTTCAATTAATGATGGATATTTTAGTTGATTAGGAGTTATATTTTTTACCTCCCTCGTTTCAAGTCTTTTTTTATTTTGCACTAGCCTTTATCTCGTCTGCAATCGTACTTGCCGAGAAAAGAGCAGTAAAAATATTTGCAGGGATTTATGTGATTGCAACAGGTTACTACTTTCGAGCAAGTTTCAAGGCTACGACAATGACACGTTATCCGCGAAATGTATTTCAGTTAGCGCATGCTATCTAACAATGAGTTACGCGGATTTTATCGACGCGCCCGTAAATCTCGACGCGTTAATCGCTGCTTTCTATTTCGAATGTCTTGGCCAAAATTTCTTGTGACGAGAATACAATCTAGTTGCCTTTTATTACTTTTGTTTAATTTTAACGGAGACTTGAACAATTGTTTTTGCAATATATTTCTAAAATCTCCCTTTATATAAATTCTCAAACGTGAAATTAATTATATTCAGAATTTTTGAAGCAATATTTTTATGAACGAGAATATTTTAATCAACTATAATTGTAAAAGGCATCGTTTTTGCAGGATGCGACCGATGTTGAAGCTGGTGTAGCTACGCGAGTTTTGCGGAAACGAAAGACTTCGCAAAATGATCACAGCCATGGAAGTTTCTTCCTCAGAATTGGTGCAATAGGTAAGTTCGCGATTTTCGGTAATGCTAAATTATGGATTATAATTTTAATGCGATATCAATAAACTGATTAAATTTGATTTGTTAGCGTTTGGACTGGGTACTATGGTGTACAACGGTTTGGAATTCGGCGCGTTCTTCGAAGTGCCGCCCACATCGCCCTGCTACCAGATATTACAAGGTGTCAATCCGGTGCTGCAAATGATCTTCACTTTTATGCAGATGTACTTCATTTTCATGAACTCCCGAGTACGTATTTGAAATCTTGAATGACAAACAGAGAAGGAGGGCAAAGAGAGATTAGAAAAATTACGATATTCTCTTCGCAGTTGAACATCCATCGCTTTAAAGTCATCGCTCGCTTCGGTCTGATGCACGTGGTAGCGACGAATCTCTGCGTGTGGATACGCACGCTGGTTCTGGAGAGTCTCAAGGAGATCACTCAGTATCACAAAAAACTAGGCCAGGTTCAGGCGGGGATTCTCGGTAAGCAGTCTATATTTACAGAGTTAATCGCGGTACCGTCGTCTGAACCGATGGCGAAACGTTGGTACGCCAAGTTCAAGTGCCCTGGCGATTACGCCATCGACGTGCCAACATATCGATGTGCCGACATTTGCAGAGAGCATCAAGCAGCACTCGATGCGAAACGCAGGGGCCATATTGGGTACCGAGCCGCGCGACATGGCACAATTGCGAGAGGCTCCTCTTACGGCCTCTTCGAGGTCGACGACCGCCGCGCCGACCGTCACCAGCACGATGGTGACAGTTGGCACTGCTCTGGGTCGCGTCATGACAACGACAGCCAGATCGATCGCAGACGCGTTCACCTCGCCGGCTACAACATCCACCTCGACCACCTGGACAACCCCGTCGACGACGACGCCGTCAACCACCACGTTCGCGCTGCCTAATTTGACGACCACCACAGCGACAACCCTGTCCACTCTCCTGACCACGTTCACACCATCGACCACTAGCACCACCACCACTACCACCACCACCGAGAGGATCACCACTATCCCGACTACAACGAGCACCAGCACCACCACAACTAACACGCCGTCCACTACCACGTACTGGTCGCAGATGATGGAGCTGATGAACGCGCCGCAGAGTGACTTGGATAACCAGGTATACGGATTACGTCCCACTCCGTCGCTGTGAATAAACACCGTCGAGACGGTAAACGCTGAGATTAAAGACCTCCCTCTTCTCTCTTTTAGGTACCGCAGATCTTCGATGTGAGCAACTTGACAAATAACAGCGAGTATTGGAGCCCGAATTTAGGCATCTACGCGGAGGCCCTGACGGAGGACGGCACAGTGTCCAATTCGTGCGGACGCGTCAATATCATGGGAACCATCGTCCAGGACGCGGCACCGTATCTATTTCCATTCATAATCGAGTACAGTTTGATCGGGGCAGCAGTGATCTACATCATGTGGAAGCATATCGGCCGACATCCGCGTTGGCCCCATCTGGCAGAGGCTGATCTTGAACGTCGTCTGGAGGCTATGCTATCTCGAAGAGCCGTCGCCCTTGCTCATGCAGGTAATTTTCTTTCCTTTCCATCGTTATCGTCGTCATTTTTATTTTGAATACACCGGATAAAATATTTTGCCATCGCTTCATAAATATGCACAATCCTGTATTTGTTTGAGAATTGAGTTGTCATAAAAGATATTACTAGGTCACACCAGAGTCGATTGCGTTGGAGCGAGCAAAGGCCTCTTCTTCGGTCTGCTTCTTCTGGTTGGTTCCCTGATATGCCTGATACTGTTCTTCGTGCTGATCCATCACCCGGAGCTCGGATTGCTTGCGATTTATCTCGCTGACGTGTCTCACTGCGTCTTAATGGCGTTATCCATTGTCGCCATAATCATCGGCTTCATCCGCGTGCAGAGCCTCAAGTTCAAGGCAGAAGAGCAGAGCGATCTGAACGACATCCTGCTGCGCGTCTCCGCCTTCGGTCTCTTTATCTATGCCGTTTTCAGCGTGATCGCCGGTTCCTTGGCAGCTTTTACGCACGAGCCGAATCTGCTGGTGATGGTGACGGGATTGCTCTCGGTCGCCCAAGTGGTCCTTCAGATGCTGTTCATCGCTGATGTATCACGCAGGCGAGTTCACTTGCCGGAGCACGATCGCAGCAAGCCCGGCAGACAGGTGGTCACTTTCCTGCTGATCTGCAATGTGACCATGTGGGTGATCTACACTTTCGAAACCCAGAAGGTTATCGCCAATCCGGTGCAGCTTGATTTCTACGGATTCCTCGCTTGGGCCATTGTGCAGAGGGTCACTCTGCCGCTGTGCATCTTCCACAGGTTCCACAGCGCCGTGACGCTGGCCGAGATCTGGAAGACTAGCTACAAGGCGCGTCTGGAGTAGACGAGCGGGGAGTCTCGTCATAGTCAATCGTCCGGAATGGTCGTCGGTTGGAACGAAAGAGCGAGCACAAGCAGGTCGGGATGCTCGACGACCTCGATCACGTACATCGATTTCGGGTCTCGGAAAAAGGGTGAAGATTGAGGGGAAAGAGGCGAAAGGAGGAAAGAGTGGAAGATCGATTGGGAGGATCGACGGACGGAAAAATTGCAAAAATGACGGATCAGCCGGAATACTCGAACATATACAGCGTGCCTGACACGCTCGTTGCACGAAGAAATCTTCGGATGATATTCAAGTCGTTGATAATTGTTGACAGTTCCAAGAATTCAAGTTTGGAAGTTGAAGATATATCTCGTTGAGAAGAATATCCCTTTATCGACATCTGAAGATACACTTCAGTGATACGATCAAGGTCGATCTGACATCCTCGAAGAGAAGCTCTCGCGTTAAGTAGAGCCAGATATGATCGTGCCGAGTCGCAGACTGTTTCTTTGTCTCCTGTTTTACATACGTTGTATTTCTTCCTTTCTCTTTTTTTTTCTCTTTACGTTCTTAGCATTGGTCAGTAGAGACAACAGGGGGAAGGACGGATCAACCTGGACAAATCTTGCCAATCGGACAACAGGCTCTCGCCGATTTCGGCGTAAACGAAGCACGAAACAACAAAAGTGTTAGCGCATACGCATTTCCCTTCACCGCGTTTCTCACCTTACACGATCTCTATATACTGCCACCAAATTTTCTACTTTTATATGTATAACGTTATATGTACCGTATATGTACCCTCGCCCCATTGTGCATTATCAAGAGCATTGTAGACAGTTCGGTTCACTCGTGGGGATTTAAATTGTTCGATATTTCCCGTTCGATTTTGATCATTTCGTTCATTACGGATATGTCGGACCGCTGTGATATATTTTTGTGAAAATTTCAGTCGGCGTTGGCGGCGAATCTCCTTCTATTCATACGTTAACGTATGTTTAACTAAATACTTGATATTTTTATAAATCATCGATATTTAGCGGACGAGATTAGCCTCTAAGTTTATCGCGTTTCGTTTACGCTCTCCGATATATACGCATATCTTACGAGACGTTAATTCATTCGGTAGCAAATAATTAGCTGACTGTCGAGGTGAGCGGCTTCGTTTCCGCATTTTATCGAAATAATTGCACGATCGTAAAAGATAGCACAAACGGAGCTCTTAGATTATTTCGTCGACGCACACCACGGCGCGTGACCCAACCCTCACAATTGATACAAACGAAGTGATTGTGGTTGTGCATTCTCCGCGCGGTCGAAGTTTAAATCTCAAGAGAGGCTCGACGAAGAACAGAATAATTTCGCGGCGTTGTTCGCTCAACGAAAGCAAACGGAGCGACGTTTCGGTCTCGCGAAGATCCTCTCGTCCTCGAAACGCTTCACCCGAGACGCGAGTGCTTCCTCGCATTCAAGAGCGCGCAATTAACGAGAGATCCATCCCTTCAAAAGGGACACTTGCACCCGTGAGATCTCGATCGTTGTTTCTCGTTGCGTGCCGCAGAGTACAAAATTGTTTTTGAAATTTTTCGAATCCCTTTATCGACACTTTTTCAACATTCGCGCACTTTCAAAGACATCGCGTACCTCCGTCGTATCTTCATCGCGGACAGTTGGCACACACGGAGAGGCGCTCATTTAAAAAGAACAACAATGAATGGCGAGTCAGTGAGGAAGGAGACCCGTGTTCGAAGCCAACACGAACGATTGTGTACAGAGAGTATTTTATCTTCAGACTCGTCGAGCACTGAATGACATATACTCGAAAAGTTTTCGCGAATGTAAGCGGACGTTGCGCTCTATGATGCAGATTGTGTGACTAAAACGTACGTAAAAGCAGCGCGAAAGGAAGTCAATGATGACTCGCGTCAAAAAGGCTTATTTTCGGCGAAAAGCGATTCGTACGTGTTTGTCCTCTCAACTAAATATTCTGGTAGACGGTACGATGTTCGAACGTCAAAGATTTCCATTTCGAATAGCTTAATTCTTTGAGGGGCGACGGTGCAGCTTGTGTACTTCACGTGTAAGTCACAGTATAATGTATTAGGTGCCACGACATTTGTGCGTTTCTATGTTGGTGCGATGTGGTTTAATTTGTGAACTACAGTGCCTAAGTTTCACTCTAGTACTGCTTCTCTTTCGGAGATCCTGCACAAAGTACGCTGACTTTCTCGGCCCCTGAAAGAGTTAAGGGAGAGAAACTTCGGGGGGAGTAGAAAAGAAACGAAGATTAATAATCGGTACACGCGAATAGAGGAGCTCGCACACCACCCACGAAATATAAGAGGTAATTATTCTCATCATTATTGATTAGTGTTTAAGCCTATCTCCAAGAGATATCGATCTTTCACATTTACTTCACTATTGATATATGTAGATCGTTGAGAAAAGGTAACTTTCATCGTATAGAGGCGATACTTTGTGAATTCCTCCACAATCCTTGTGAAAATACTCCCTTCTCCTGAGAGTAAAGCACACATAAAATTTTACTTAATAAAATTTACATTCAACGCGTAAGTTTTATTAAGTAAACTTTCTCGCGCGAGATGAGAAAACAATAATACACGAGACACACTCGACATCCTGATGGAAGTCACATCATAAACGTAAGACACCAGTCGACGTCTTTAGCTTTCGAGTCTAAATATTTTAATTATTAGAAATAATATAAATAATAAGTAACGCGCACTCGCGTGCGCGAAATAATGTGGTGTGAACACAGTAACGCCCCGAGTAACCGTTAAGGATCGATTAAACATAATCATAGGTGGATCCGGGAGGCGCTCTTCAAGGGAGGGGGCGAACTGAGCAGAATCGGCATTGCTATTTTCCAGGTTTGCTTATTTTCCAAGCCTTCAACTTACGTTTTTTTATAATTATCTAGAAAGTAATATGTATATACAACGTTCTATCATATCGTTTGCGACTTCATCAAATTATCAAGTTCATTTCTAGCTGCAAAATTCATGCAAATGTTCCTTTATATTATCGTATGCATTTGCAAGAGAAATATGGAATGACTGTTAAAAAAAATTAAATCAAATTCATTAGTGATTTAATCATTAAAAGTACGAATGCAAGGAAAATATAAATACAAGGTACAAAATATTATCCAGCAGTCTGTCGCTTAAGAACGTATAGGCGCGCTTGGTTCACACAGTGAAGTGTCCCAACAAACTGCCATGCGCTAAAAACAAGAAATGTAACTTGGTAGAAACCCAACGACTACAAATGATAGCAAATACATCAATACATGATATTAACTATTAATGCTAAATATTTCGAAAATTTTTTGGGCGCCTCTCCTGCGAGGGGGGGGGGGACACCGTGATCGAGGCTTTGCCCCCCTTTGGATCCGCTTATGAACATATGATGATCCGAAAACGATATTATTAAGAAACAAACACAATATAAATATATATAGATATAAATATGAGTGTATATATATGTATGTATATATATGCATATACATTTATACATACATATATATATATAAAATGGAGACTTGTACTAATTTTGATGTACGCAACTGTAGTTGGAGTGTTGCGTGCGAATGTAAATAATAATCACTCTTCGTCAGCAAATTATTATTTAGCAGAGTGTCTGTGAAACGAACGTCATTGCCAATAGAGTGATTCAAATTAGTGCTTGAACAAATTTTTCGAGCTGTTGTTATTAATTTGTTACGCAGAAAAGTGTATAAGCTGCTTATCCTAGAATTATACGCGTGGCAAAAAGTCCACGATATGCGTTTTAATTTAGAAAAAAAGCATGTCAGTGATAACCAAGATTATAACACGTACGAATTTCTATAAATCAAAACAACACTTGTGCATGTCCCATACTTCCATCGCTATAGATTTGATTAGAAAAAGGTGTAGGTAAATCAGTATGCGCGATCTGCAATACTCATTAATATTAAATTGACATGTCGTTTCAAAGTACTTGGTCGTTTGTGAAAATAGGCTTTGCGAAAATCGTACGTATTACAAATCTGTGAGAGGGCTAAGTTTTAGTTTTTCTCTCTTATAAATATCTGTGAATCTCGTCGTTTCGTCGACACTCTGCGCAATCAACTCATAAGCGCGACAAAATCACAGCCACAGCATAGCGAGAGATCTCATTACGAGAATTAAATTAATTACCAAGGCACTGCCACACCGGACCAACAAAGTCGAAACGAATGACAGAAAGGATTCTGAAAGGGAAAGAGGGAAGACACGCAAATGCAGAAAGAGAACCAATAATCCTTTATCGATTTCCCGCAAAGAAAAAAGCTATAAAGAAGATATATATGAAACCGAGACCCTTCCACGTTTAACGAATGTGAACGAGTGCGTAGTTCCAATATACGTATGCGTGATTGTGGAGTGAGAGAAAGAGAGCGAGAGAGAGCGAAAGAAAGAGAGAGAGAGAGAGAGAGGGAGAGAAAGATAGGCAGAAGGAAGAAGAACGGAAGAATACGTGAAACGTTTTTCTTCGGCAAACAACGTCTTTGTATACTCTACCCATGTTGTAAGGAGAAAGAAACCCACGATTCTCTTGTATATGTACATCAATATCTCGATAGTAGCAGTAAGCCTAATTAGTGAGTCGCGGATTTGTGATACGGCCAACGAGACGAATGCGACTGAGATTCGCCCGATTTAAGTACAAATTGTGCGATTATATTAATTTGCTTCTTGTTCACACGGGATTCGCATTGCAGATTCGTTACAAATTTGCGTCATTTTATTTGTTACGTAAATTCTCATTTTTCATATAAATCGCGTATTCATCGCATATAACTGACAACGTTATAAATCTGTTCAAATACCTCGCACGTATGGTAACCAACCCATTGTGCGAGCAATCGGATTTTCTTTCACGGCAGTGTATTCCAATTACGTTCCATATTCATCGAGACGATAGCATTTTCGCAACAACTTCGTATGTACTTCTGTAGGTTTACCAAGTCGCGAATCCGCGAGAAACAGATGAGGAGAGGACAGGAGGAATTTGCATATGCATACGTGCCGGAAGCAAATCCGCGACGCATTATTATTTAACATAATGTAGTGAGTTTTCGATGTCTTCGAGTATAATTACAGTTTGTACACGTATACACGCAGTTTTAAGCAACAGGACATTACACACAAAAAACACACACACACAGATACATGACACACACGCGCGCACAAGTGACATCACTCGTGGATTTACCAGAGACACATCAAGGAGGAAGCGAGGACAATGGAAGGCACAGAACGGAAGGAGTTAACGTTTCGTCAGGAGCAGGCGATAATGACAGACGGAACACAAAGAAATAGAATAAAATAAAATAAAATACAGTAAAAATATAAATTACATGTTGTGATGTAAGCAGTTCTTCGAATGTCGAGTAGCGACGAATACGTCTGTAAATTCATAAATTCGCTCATTCATCGATTCCTATTTTCATTGTATACCGTTAAAACCAGTTTCATTGTGTCCCGAGTTACATCGGTACGTCGTTGCCACATCATTTGTAACGATACACGATTATATTGGTTAATAAAAGTTATCTAGACGTAATGTGTGCCTATTTTATTTTTATTCGAAGCTTCCGCGTTCCCCGTTTTCCATTCAGGCTTCTCCATCGCACTCGCATTTTAAAAAGCAGCCATTTTGTAAGGATAATTCAATTATATTGTCTGTATAATTCGTATCTCTAGTTTCCAAAATATTTCAATATTTTCCATACGCATATCCAACTTTACAAATATTAAACAAAAACTGCAATATCTATTGCAGAATATAATAGCAGAAAGCTACCGAACATCTTTTAACTTACGAACTTTAACGTGGACTGACAAATACGGAAATCAATATTCCAATTTTTATATTGATATGAAATAAAACACATTTTATGTACACGCATAAAATGCTAATCGACAGTCAATAACGGCGTTCTCGTAACAGATTCATGTATCTACTGTAGATACATTGTTCCAAATATTATTTAAGACGTAAAGTAATTCTTACATGTAAACTTTAAACTCGGAGATGTTCCCGACACAGTGACTTTAATAATTTAGAAACGTGTTAATTTAATTTGCAAAGATAGCGAAAAATATATGTGACTTGTACCGCAGTTGAATTTCATGTCCACCACGAGATGGTGGCTGTTTCTAGCCAGCCTCGAAAACACGGTGTACAGCAATGCAACTCCAGTGCTCGTTTCAATCGAATATTCGAATTATTTATCATTAATATATTAACACTTTGCATTTACTATTTGTAACAGAATGTTATCTAAACTCGCACGCAAATCGTAAGGCTCAGGTCTAACGTACACCAGGCGAATAAATTAACTCAGCTGTAAGTCGGTTGAATTATTAATCGTTGCATTATTAATTTGGATCGTATCGTGCTTAAGTCACCTGCCCGTACAAAGTATGTTAAGGACATCATTCAAATGAAATCTGGCACGATTTTCCTTGTAGGGCGACATTTATATTAAAATATACCTGCGATAAACACCAATAAAACGATAGCGGCTCTTGCCTGTAAATGCGCGGAAAAATTACTTTCTTTACTATCAATGTGGAGATTTCTTTTTCCTATGTGTTACCAGAAAAATTTAGTAGACGCATAAACAAAGTTATATTCTCGCGAACACGTTTCCAGATGTCAGAGAACCATTATACAACTACAAAAGAATAGCTCGAGGAAGAGTTAATGTAACTCAACTTATGTAAAGAATTGCGGAACCAAATGAGCCGGACGTGAGTCAGGAACCATAATTAACGAAATATTCGACCGTACACCAGCTCGAGTGGCTAAAAGCGTCTAACGCGACGCGAGCGAGCAACGGGAAGACGGAAGGCGCGACGTCGACCGGGCGAAATTACAAATGAGAAGTGGAGAACGGCCGGGCCCGAAAGAAAGGTACACAAATGCATATGTATGGTAGGCGCGTATCGACGTCGCCAGAAGTGTTCGTTGGCCGGGCTGGCGGGCATTGTGAACGACCGGTAAACAATTAGTCGCGCCGTATGGCGATGAATCATTATTAAAAACGACGATGACGAGCCCGACTGTCCTCAGGCGCTCCGTCGCGTCGTGCCGGTCATTCGAGCGGGCCTGGTTAACATGCGACATTAATTTGCGTAAGGTGTGTTTTGGGGTGCTACTTGAAAAGACGGCAGCGGATGTGGGTGCGTAATAGAAAAGAGATGATGTACTGAGAGAGAAAGAGAGAGAGAGAGTACACGGTAAAGGAGGAGGAGAGAGAAGAAGAAGAAGAGCACTGGCCCCGGTGAGGCTCCGCCGGGCCTCATTTGCCTTTCAATGCGCCGCTTCCCTTCGTCTTCTTCTCATTGTGCGACACGGCCATTGTCATGCCTCCGTACACGGTGTATTACCTGTGCCTATCCATATTCGTGCCTGCGTGGGTGGCGACCGCGCACGGCAGCCGCGTTAAAAGGCGATTCCTAAAACATGTCTCAGATACCTGTCCGTGTCTCGCATTTTTCGGAGATAATCGCGGTTACAGATATAGGACGAGAAATGAGGAAGAGATGATTGTGAGAAACTACAAAAGTAACGATGAGAAAAATTCGGTCGTGATAGATGCGTAATTGCGAAGAGACGTTGAAAAAGAAACGCGTGCACCTTTGCGGCTCCGTTTGATTGGATAAAAAGAAAAATATTTCGCGTGCTCTGCGGGTTTTAAGCTAACCAAGACCTGTCGCTCACAGGCTACTCAATGTCGTAAGTTTAATGCGTAGACGGGTGCCTCGCTATAAGACCCTCTTATTCAACTATTCGCGTCCCTCGCGGGGCCGCTAAGCGGGCCTCGGTCTTCGACTTGTTTAACTACGATCCATCATCGAGATAACGAGGCTACTGGGAATTTATCCCAGGCAATCTCGTGCTTGAGAGACCGATAACATTCTACAGGGGAGATTTCTCCTCATCAGTACGCGCGGTTGCGACGTCAAAAATCGCGAGTCTCCGGCGTGCTTCCGGATGCCCGGCGGCTTTCTACTCCAGAGGCAACCGTAATAGTCTGTATAATAGCGGGTGGCGGCGGGTGCGGGTGCGAGTCGAGTCGAGTCGAGTCGAGTCGATTCGGCTGGAGTCGAGGAAGCGAGTCGACTCGGAGACGCCCCGGGCGGCTTGGCGCAACCGTGCGAAGGTGAGAGACCACAGGCTGTTTGTACCGCTTAGGCTAATGAGGTACAGATGGCGATATTCTTGGGCGCCGCAAGGCGAATCGGAGGGTGAGACGTGAAGAACCGCGGGACCACGCACGCCGCCGCACGCATGCACGCACGCATGCACGCACACGAGAGCGGGCGAATCCGGCGCAAGGTGGCTGTAGGAAGCCGGGGGACGGCCGCGCGAGCGAAAGGGGTTGCCCTCGTTTGATTCGATCCTTATCTTGGCCAGCCGGTCGGTCCCGGCTACCGCCGGCCGATCGCTATCTCGCCGATATACGCACCCTCCTTTTAACCCGGTGTTACGGTGAAACCTGCGGTGCTTCGGTGCACACGCTTGCCTTTTCGGCTGGGCGCAGATGCGGCGCGGTGCTTGCATACCGGCGCGGATACATCGATCCTGGCCCGATAATACGACGCCCCTACTAACTGATGTCCGGTCCGGTTGTTTCACGGTACGTGTGTTGTACGACATGATAAGCGAGCGCTAAGATTTGCCGCGCGTTAAAGTAACGGCAAGGAAAGTCCTCGGGGCAACCGCCTTTCACTGTCAATTTTAAGTATCGTACGCTACCGCGGTTTACGTCACGATAACAGAGAGCTAGAAGCAAGGAGAGTAAAGCGCGTTTGTTGATTACTCGTACGCATCGGTCTGTGACAAAATGCAGGATGCATTCGGTCTCTCGACCGGTCCCTCCCCTTTTCAAATCAATATTATGTAATGCGTCTCAGACTCGTAGACTCGGCTCGATGAAGGGGATTTTCGTCGCGGCACAAAAGTCCAAACGTGTACGCTTGGACGCGTAAGGGCGAGTCGAAGGGACGACTGAGATCGGCGCGGAACGAGAGCAGGCTGGAGCGGACAGCCGCGATTTCACACCGCGGCCGTGATCCGTGATTTCACGGCAGCTGCTCGCGCGGCAGGAAGTGAGACATCATACGTGTGCGCTGGCACTAACTTTCTTGCATAATGTGAAATCGGGGACGGGACGCGTCGGCCGCTCGTCTTTAAGACCGACAATCGCCAAAGAACAATGAAACGATGAATCGTTCTTCGGCAGCCGGCTCGGTTGCCGTGCGGAGTGGAGCACAAACTGGCGCCTTCAAGGATAAAATAAGATTATTTCCTACGAAAAACGCGATTGTATTTCTTTTACATACGTTCAATATCGAGTCATCGGTGCGTGAAGCAAAGTATATTCTTCTTGACAATGAAAGATGCGAGCGCAAGAGAAAAAAATTATTCGGAAAATTGATATAAACGTGTGAAGATTGACGGGGAAAATGTCTTTTTTAGTTATGTCCAGGTTCCCGATACAACTGTAATTTATAGATATCCCTAGGTTCCCAATACAACTGTATTTTTTAAATATATTAATTAATTAAAGGCTCCGTTGAGAAAAACAATAATTAATTTTGATAAGAGCGATAGGAGCATATAACGAATAATACAATATTTGACAAGGTATTTGTAATAAGATGGAAAGAAATAAAACACAATAGTTGTTTGAAAAAATATTGCATTTTTTAGATATCTCTAGGTTCTTTATACAACTGTATTGAGAATTGACGATTAAACTTGAAATTTGGGATCGTACTCTCTAAAAAAAATCAGTGGTTTATCACTGAAAACAGTGAATAGTCACTGATTTGCAGTTATAAGTACGCCATTGAAAATCGCAGTGATACACTTATAACTGTGAATCAGTGACTACTCACTGATTGATTTTTAGAGAGTAGAGATATCCAGGGGAAGTAACTCGTTATTTGTAACGAAGTTACAGTTACAGTTTTTTTTTTGGTAACTGTAATTTAACTTCGTTACTTTCTCTCTATCTGCAACTGGAACTTAATTCAGTTACATTAATAGCAACTTTATATATTTTTTAAACCCCCACAGATCGTATCAGGTCTTGCATTTGCGCACAAACGCCTTTATCGACACTTTACAATTCAAATGCAGATTTGACATTTTTATTTTTATTGCAAGAAAGCAACTGCAAAGTAACGATCCGTTACTTTTTGAGTAACTGTAACTGTAACGCGTTACTTTTCAGAATTGGTAACTTGTAACTCGCTAAACGTCAATCAGTGAATTACAGTTGCAAGTATACCACTGAAAATCAGTGACTATTCACTGTTTTCAGTGATAATCCACTGCTTGGTTTTTAGAGAGAACTGTAACTGTAACTAGATACTTTTATAAAGTAACTTTCCCAACCCTGGAGATATCTTTTAGTGACTCGAAAATTGGGCCGTTTATTAATTCATATCGCAGCTTGCAACGAAATTTCAGTAGACATTTATTAGGATCAAGTCATCGGAAGAAACGTTACGTAAGTTACATAAAATCTTTAGGGTCGACTTGCA